TTCATTTCCATTATAATTTGCTCCTTGAGCTATTAGCTGATTAGAAATACATCACTTAATTTTCAAGTATGTGGGGATGTCTGCTTCTTTTTTTGAAGGAAGAAAAATTTTATTTAGCTCACAGTTACTGAAAGTTTCAGTCCATACTCAGCTGGCTCCAAGGCAGAGTACCACATGGCAGAGAGCAACTGTTCATGACGGTGGCAAAGAGCAAGAGAGCAAAGAGAGTGGTAGCAGCTCAGGAAGCTAGCTATCCTCTCAGGGGATGTCTGCTTTTTAATTGTCTTAGTATTATTGAGTTCTGGAGCATTTTGTGAAAAAAATCATTTAAAACCACAAACCATGATTTTTTTTCTTTTTTCTTTTTTATCAATATTATTTTACGTATTGCTTAAGGCATGTTATTGGTTAACCCAAATTTGTCATGACTACATTTTCTAATTATTAGTGGTTAACCCAAATGTATCATAATTGCATTTTCTAACTACACTAAAAATAGTACCATTCACCACCAGTAATACTGTTGAGGCTCACTTTATCTGATTTAGAATGCTGCACCACCGTTCCTGGATTAATATTTGCATTGTCTATGTTTTCTAATCCTTTTGCTTTCAACTGTCTGTGTTTTTCTATTTCAGATGTGTCTCTTACAAGTATCATATAGCTGGAGGTTTTTTTCTTTTCTTTTCTTTTTGCAGTGTACTTGGTACATGTCTCACTACATAGCTCAGACTCATAGTGATCCTTCTGTTTTCAGCCTCCCCAACGCTAGTCTTCTAGGCAGGCACCACCAAGCCCTTTCTCTGTGGCTGTCTCAAAACAATCTTGGAGCATGGTTAGTGTGGTCTGTGATGCCAGGGAGCGATCCCCGGTCCCTGTGCTTGCCCAAGCAGGCACTTAGGCTGCTGAGCTATCTCGCTGACCCTTGAGGTTTTATTCAATCTGATAATTTTTTGACCTGAATTGATGTGTTTAATCCATTTAAATTTAGTGTAATAACTAAGGTAGTTAGGTTTGTGAGACTATCATATTTTGTTTCATTTTTGTTATTTTCCCATTTTCGTATTCTTTGTTGCTTTCTCTAAATTATTTTACTTCTTGATTTTGTACTTAGAGATAACTTAATCAGTTTTAATAGATAAGATTTATTTATTATTGTCTAGCAAATTTGTATTTATTATTGTATAGTTAGTAATAAAGCTGAGAACTTTTCCTAGTCATAAGCAAAGAAGGGTCCTTAAATTCTTCAAGTTAATGTGCTTTTATCCTTGCTTTGTGACAATGTTGTCACTTTTTGAACTTGTATTTTGAAGCTTAAAGGACATTATTGTCATACTTTCAGTATTTTCATCTTTTCTAATGTTAATCTTTTTCTGATTTCTCTCCTGTCTGGGGTTAGTTTTCCTTCTGCCTTTATCACTTTCTCCAGTGTTTCTTTCAGCATTGGTATAAATTATCTCAACTTTTATTGGCCTAAATATATCTTTTTAACTTTTTGCTTTTTAAAATATTTTTCCAAATATAGACTTCTAAGATAGCAAATATTTTCTTTAGCATTTAAAAAAAGATTTCAATGTGTTGTCTTATGACTCACATAGTTTTTTTTTTCTCAAAAACTCAGCAAAGCCTAGCATGTTATTGTACCTTTTAAGGTAGTATAAATTCTTGCTCTGGCTACTTCTGAGACTTGCCTTTGACTTTGGTTTCAACATGTTTACTGTCGCAGTGACGCAATTTCCTGGTAGTGGATCCTGTTTGGATATTTATAACATCTTAAATCTGAGATTTGAAGTCTTTTGTCAGGGTGCAGGATTCTCAGCCATTATCTCTACATATTGCCTATACCTCCATTTCTCTCTTTCTCTGAACTTCAACTTACATTATTAATGTTTGTTATATCTCATATTAGCTCTTTTCTATTCTTCTCATCCCTTCCCTGAACTTCGATTTGTCAATTTTCTACAAATTTTCTAGGTCACTACTTTTTCTGCTCATAATCCCATTTAGTAATTTATCTGAATTCTAGAATTATTTTTAGTTCTAAGCTTTCCACTAGACTCATTATATGTTCTAATTCTGTAACCTAACTCTCTATCTTTTTTATATTTTGACATATTACTCATAATTATCTTAAAGCCAGTAACTAGTATCTCAATGATATGGATATTCTGTGGATCTGAATCTGTAGTTTGTACATTGGTTTGGTTTTGTCTACCATTATCTGACTCCATGTGCTAGGATAACTGGTAGTCTTTTTTCGATTGCTAGGCACTGTGGATGAAAATTGGAGATGTTCTTAATGACACTTTCTCCAGAAAATATATAATTGTCTTCTGCTAGGAATTTAGAATGTGGACAATAAAGCTGCTCAGAATATCTCAGGCTGAATTTTAGACTTCATGGAGATTAGGCCATTTCTCTTTGCACATGCTATGTCTTAGAACCCCTTCTCCTTAATAGGACCTCAAATCCAGTTTCTTTCCCTTGTTCTGAGACTACTAGAATCCAAGGTGATATTCTACTTACTTCCTTGGACATTGGCTGGCTCTGAGAATGTATAGTTCATTAATCAGTAAGGGTCACAAAAAATACCACAACAGGAAATCCACTTCCCTTTTGTGCTTTCTGTGCTTCAGGGATCTTGAGCCTGCACTTTGATTTCTGTCTTCCCAGTACTGAGACTGAAGCAAGCTCTAGCCTACATCTTTTCTCTTTTCTCATCACAGAGAATTTGGCAATTTCTCTGAAAGGAAAAACTGAGCTCTATGTAGGACTCTCTCCAATGTATGACTCTTCTCCTGGGATTGGACCCTCAGGTCCTTGTTGCCTTGGCTGTTGTCTGCTGTCTTAAAATAGCTAATTTTAAGTAGTTTATCTAGTTGGGCTTTTAGTTGAATGAATCTTACAAACTTTCCAACTCCAGTCAAGTTAGAAATCATTCAGTATTCTTCAACTCCAAAATTCTTGTGATATGGGTGATATTTGTCTCCATAATGGCCAGAAAGACTATTATTTAAGGTTGTAGATTTTGTACCAAAGATAAACCTAAGTAAGGCATATGGAAACCTTAGCTGAATAAACCTTGTTATCAAGATTCCTTTATAACAAAATGTTATCCTTGCACCAAAAAGTTATCCTTGGTAATTTGGGAGGTACTTTCTTACAATATTTTACATTTCTTTTATTGCTGTTGTGATGAGGTTAATTTCTCTAAATTTGGCATTAAATGCATTATTTCATTCCATCCACCCTTGGCCACCATGAAGGCTAGAATGATCTACATTAGCTTTCACTGGAAACATAGGAGGATCTCCAGTTTGCTAACCACCATGGAAGTAGATAACTTAACCTTGTAGCCCTTCCCTGACAACTTCATCTAAATCTTTTGGAATCTTTTTCTATCTGTTACAAGGTTTAACCTGTATTGTACATGTCCTTTTTACGACATGCCTAGCAAAATGGCTCAATCTACCCAACAAGCCCTCTTTCCTTGGCTAGCCACTTGCAAAATTGCAAATGAGTCTGAATTCATTCTTTTGTTTATGTTGCATCTTCGGAAAAATGCTAGGTTTTATTTAGAGTACCTGAAAATAAGCTCCTAGCACAAACAATGTTTTTGCCTTGAAAGTCTCAGGTCACCAAATAACATCATAAATTTGATTCCTCATGGACTGAGAACTGAAAAATAAAGCCTAGTGATAAAAGGACTACTGTAGTACTCTAAAACTATTTCAGATATTATAGAACTCATAAAATCTAGCTATACATGCTATCAAAGTTCGACTAATATGCTTCATTTTGGATCTGTCTTTTATTGTATCTTCCATAGCCGATATATAGATAGATAGATAGATAGATAGATAGATAGATAGATAGATAATATTTCTTGATCTCAGCCTGATTTACTACATGGATTTTCATGTTCTGTTTCCTTGAGCAACAGCATATTTTACCTTTTGCTAATCTACTACTCATCCTTTTTCTTTTCCAATTTACAATATTAGCTATCCTTTGGATACTATTTCATGATTTCTGTGATCATCAATTTAATATATCCCACACTCTGGGTCACAATGACTCTATTATACATAGCATGTGGTACATAAATCATGAGATCTTCCTTTAATTTATTCTTCTCTGTTTTGTATTTGATTACTAAGAGGATGACCTTTGCATGACCTCTTTTAAATTATTATAAAATACTTTCCAGTTGCTATAACCATTCTCTTTGTAATGTGAAATAACCTTCCAACTGTGGTAATTCATTAAAGAATTTTGGAGGAATCCTATCGAAGAGTCTGAAAATATATACACATTGTATTTCATAATCCTTATTTTGTCACATGGGTATTAGGCTGGTTTAATGATCCATATTGGTTCCTGGGTAAGATTCCTTTTATAAGGAAAAAAAGGGAAGGCAAAAGGTATTGTATTTTATGAGTATGTAGTCATTGCACTCAGTGCTTTCTTCTGAGATGAGCTGCTCTTGATTGAATTTCCCAGGATCTATTTCAAAACCCAATCCATGCAAGAAGCCCACAAGTTTTATAGTACAATAATTACTGTAACCCAGGTTTTATTGTCTGGCTTTACTCTTGAAAGTATCCCCCTTGGTGGTCTCTCAAACTAAAAATAAATTTTATGTCATGTTATCAGGTTATTTGCATTTTCATTATAAATTCAATCTAGAACATCCCAAGTGTTTGCCACTGTTCTATTACCCCTTATTTGTGTGGATTAAAACATTTTAATGTATGTGTTTATGCATGCATGTATGTATGTATGTATGTATGTATGTATTTTTCCAAATTAGGTATTGAACTCTGATGTGTATATTGAAACATTTCAATAGACTCTCCCCAAAGCTACTCTCAACTCTAAGCAGCTAATTTATTGAACACATTTATTTTTTGTCTTCTTTTCTTTCCCAAAACCTCACTTGTGTGAACCCCCCTTCAGTTCTCATTTTTTCTGCCCTGCTTGGTCTTCATTTCACTTACCCAGGTGAGTGACAGCTTCTTTCTCCCAAGGCCAGGTGGCAGCACCTGCAAGGTTTTCTCGCACTGAGGTGGCAAAGTAGACATTGAGGAAATGGGTGCCATTGAGCTGCAAGACCTCCTTTAGCTCCTTCACACTCATGTATGCCCTGGAGAGCACACAAGAAGAGAACATGTCACACCTGCAGGTGGGCCCCAAGGACAGCAAGGTAGACCTGGTCATCCCAATGGCATGCCAGTCAGTGTAGGCTTCTGGAGAGGCATGAAGGTCCGAAATAAGCACGGACACACATTTGCAGTATTTATGCCAAGGAGTAGCCTGCATTTATAAACACTGAATTAATATAATATTTGACATCATTCTCCATTCCCCACAACACTCACCTTATTTCTTCAGGATAAATCCAATAATACTATTAGTACTACTATTTTTTTTGTATTAAGAATTATTCCCAGGATGTGGTAAAGAAGGCTTTCTAGCTTTCAGCCTCCGATTCTTCTCCTTCTAGTGCCTGATTCTTATGATTATAGGAAGACCAGTAAATTACTACATCAGCATATGTTTATTGAAAACATTATTTTTTAGGTGAAAAAGGACTGCAGTTCGAAATAGTAATTAAAATGGGAAAAATAGAATGAGTTATAGGTATTAGAGGACATCATAAAGCTCCTGCATATAATAATTATTAAATATATACTTCCCGTTCCCAGGCTCTAATCCATAGAAAATCTCTACGACCTTAGGATACTTACCAAGTGTCTTTACTGGTAATTTTCATAGCCCTAGGCAATATTATACTTGTGTTCATGCACAGAAGTAAAGTTATTAAAATCACAAATTCCATGACCCATGCAAAAAGGAAATGTGCTTTTGGTGTCTCTATAAGCTCATAGACTGTCAAAACCCTGCAGCTTCCTGGCATCAGTGAAACTTACAACTTTACCACAAGCAAATAGAGCTTTTCCATCCTCACCAAACAGAGCTTGTATGAACTAAACCAGAGTTCAGTGGCCTTTCGGATCCACAACTATTTACCCCAGTAGCCTGGCTTATCATCCCAAAGGGAGAAACACTCCTATCATAACTTCAGCCAGGGAGACAGTCCTGTAGCACAGGGTGGAAATTCTCTTTCAGATTATGCTTCCTAGTTGTTACATTGCCTCCCAACCATGAGACTGATGCCACCTAGGGACTCCAGAGAAAGAAGGATCCTGAAGGAACCTCCTTCTCTATTCATTGAAACAGAATATAAAAGAGGACTAAAAACAAAAAACCCCAAAACACTTTGCTTTAGAACCACAGATGTTTAAGATAAAGGGGTTTTAGATAGTATTTTATTAACATAATATTTTGGAAAAGTAGTGTTCAGACACAAGCAATCATTTCAGCTCTATAAGGTGATGTCAGATATGATGCGAAGGATATTTCTTCTACTGTTTTTATGGAGACACAATGTTTTTGGACTGTTGACTAGTTTTCTCTGGACAATAGTCACATTCTCTTTCCCTTTCTTGTTTATTGAAAATAATTAGAATTATTTTTGCCGATTGGGGTAATGATGACATCAACTAAATCTTCAGTGTGGAGATAAGCCTGGGGAGGTGGGAAGGAGAAAGGGGAAGAGAGAGGAACAGGAGGGAGGGAGGCAGGGGGAGGAAAAGGAAAAAGGAAGAACAAGAAGAGAAAGGGAAATAGGAGAAGAGGAGAGGGAAGGGGAGGGGAGGAGAGGAACAGCCTACATTGAGATCAGTTCACCATTTTCTGTTCCTATTCCAGGTTTCCAGTTAACTCGGAAGTCGCTAACTGAACAGCTTTTCTTTCTTAGCTTCCTTCACTTTCGTGAATCCCACTGCTCCTGGCACATCTCCTGGGCTATCTGTCTGTCACTGGCTTCTCTTCCTGCCATTTACCAGCATTGGTCAACCTCCTCCTGTCCTTTCTCAACCCAGCATTTCTCTTCATGTCCGTTGAGCATCCTCCAAGGGACTTCTTCTTCCACACCAAGATCACTAGCAGGTTCTACTCATCTCCCTTTGCTTCTCTGCCCAACTCTCTCCCCAGCCATAAATTACCCTTCCAGATGAAAGTGTTTGTGTCATGCCGATGGTAATCTGGGTGTGGTTGCTCAGATGCCTGCCCTTCACAGAAATATAGAAAGTTCCCAGCAAGTCTAAGGGAGGGAATAAATTTTAAAACACTGGAGACACTTGGAAATCTTTGTTAACTGAACTGATATAACAAAACTTTATTTTGTTGGAAATAACACTGTTATGGGGATTATTCTCTAAACTGGAGGGTGACATCATTTGAAATCAGTGAATATGCTTTCCACGAAAAATGCCCACCTATTCAACATATGTACACCATTTCAAAAGCTAATCATGGAGATAGTTGTCAGCTTCACAAACAGTGTGACTGGAGGTTGGCTCAGACTTATAGTAGGGGAGAAAATGGACATAGATCTTGAACGCCCACCTTAACATCTTGGAGTAGAAATAAATAATTAAGAGAAGTTAATATTAAAGAAAAAGTGAAACAACTTCACAAATACAATAAGATGCTTAAGGATCATGAATTGACCAGAATTATGTATTTAAAGAGATAAATATCCTCTGGAAAAATTCCCAGTAGAGGAATAGCTGGTTTAAAGGGGATTTCCAGACCAACTTTTCTAAGGAGTCTCCATACTGATTTCCATAATGGTTGC